AAAAAAAAAAAAAGAATAAGAGCAGAGAAATTAGACTTTGGATTGTGTGTTTGAATAAACTTGATATGAGAATTATACATAGTTATAAAACAAAATTAAATCAAAATGAAAACCAGTAGCTTAAGAATAATAATAATGTTTTATCCTATTACATCAGGTGTAAATTGCTTTAGAATAAAAATTGAAATGTTCTTGATGTTTTTCTAGTTGTCAGCTGAGGTATATAGGATACACTCAATACAAGGGACAGAACCAGTAGTGCAGTTCAAAGAAGGTGCCGTTCGTGGTTTAGAGGCCTTGCTTGCAGAGCCCCAACAGAAAATTGAAACTGTTATCTCTGATGGAGAAGTGATTAAGTAAGTTATACTTAAAAATGAATTTTTTTACCAAAATAGAAATGCATTGAGCATTTTTTTTATTACATTCTTTGCCATGTTCAAAAAACATTTTTGGCTATAAACATAATAAAAGTAACCTAGGGCTGTGGTTAGAGCTCATTGGTAGAGCACTTGCCTAGTATGCACTAAGCTTTGGGTTTGGTCCTCAGCACTACAAAAGGGAAAAAAAAAAAAAACATTTATAAGACACTGACCAAACTAACTTCCCCAAAATCCTCTAGCATGATAGATGATTGAGGAAACCATAGTCATATGCATCCAGTTCTAATGACAAGAAAACTTGGTTAGTCAGTTATTTGAATATGAAATGAATAATCCCCAAAGACCAAAATCTTTTTGCTTCATATTCCTTGACTTCCAGGTTATAACCTTTTCCTCTGGAGGAAAGTACAGCTTCTTAAGTGAAGTCATGATAGTGCTCTTTTATTTTTTTTTGAATTTTTTTTCACTTTTTTTTATTGGTGCATTCTAGTTGTATGTAATGATGGAATTTGTTGCTACATATTCATACATGCACTCGATAGTGCTTTAAGACCTCTGCTTTCCCAGATTCGGAATAAAACTGGAAAAATGACTCGCCCAAGTGATAGAAGGACATTTCTTGATTTCACATCTCTCTGATCCTCATTATTTCATCACATTTCCTGTTCAGTTGACTTGCTGCTTTTCCAGGTCCACCTGGTGGAAACTAAATTTCTACTCAAAGCAAAGACTTTTTCTTAGTAAGTGAACAATGACCAGCTTGATTTTTAGACTGCATGCCTTTGAGGTGTGAGCATCTGTGTTTGGGGAAGATCTTTGGGTACCACAGACTACCTAGCCATCTTTGGTTATGAGCCCTATTTAGCTTCCCTGTGGCTTAGTTCCCTCCGTTACTTGAAAAAGACATCCATCCTAATGTTTTCCTCAGAACACTAGTCCCATAAGTAATTCTGAAGAAAAGGGGATGGGGGAAGTTGATTTAAGTTTGGAAAGTCCTCCATACTGTCATCTCTTTCTTGAAACTTTACAATTCACATTGTCACTTGGGGGCCAGGTATGGTGGCACACTTGTCATCCAGCAATTCAGGAGACTGAGGAGGATTACAAGTTTGAGACTCAGCTACTTTTAATGAGTCCCTAAGCAACTTGGCGAGACCCTGTCTTAACATAAAATAAATTAAAAAGGGCTGGGGAAGTAGCTCAAAGGAAGAGTGGCCCTGGGTTCTGTTCCCAGTACAAAAAAAAAAAAAAAAAAGA